TGTTGGCCCATTTGAGCTGGAAAGAATGAAGGAAATCGTAACCACTTTGTTCCCTGAACACCCGGACAAACCCATTAAGGAATTTCAAGTCCACGAAACCTTTGATCTTTTCACTGAAGAGGAATTGAGAGCCGTCGCTAGCGTAGCGAAAGTCAGGAAGTCCCCGGGACCCGACTGTATCCCGATAGAGATTATCAAAGCTATAGCGCTGGAACACCCAACTATTCTGCTGAATATGTACAACACTTGCCTCCAAGCAGGTATCTTTCCAACAAGATGGAAGGTACAGAGGCTAGTACTGCTAGACAAGGGAAAGGGTCTACCCATAACACCGTCTTCGTTTAGACCACTATGTATGCTGGACGATGCGGGCAAAATGTTTGAAAAGCTTATTCGACAGAGACTACGTGATGCAATCGAAGACGCTGGAGGATTATCCGCCCATCAACATGGATTCCGACCGCGCCATTCAACAGTAGGAGCACTGCGTGAGGTGGTGGAACAAGCGTACACGGCCTGGCGAGGAAATCACCGCAGTCGCAGTATCTGTGTTCTGATCACCTTTGACGTGAAAAACGCCTTCAACTCAGCAAGGTGGGTCGATATCATGAATGCCCTTGAAGAGCGCTTCAAGATCCCGGCATACCTACTACGGGTGATTAACGACTACCTCTCCAACAGAAGTCTGACTTACGAAACCCTAGAAGGTCAGCAGGTTCAGAAAGTCACTGCCGGTGTAGCCCAGGGTTCTGCGCTTGGGCCTGACCTATGGAATGCGATGTACGATGGGATCCTAAGAATCGAGCTACCGAAATGTGTCCAACTAGTGGGGTTCGCTGACGATATCGTTGCCGTGGTAACTGCCAGGGACATGGAGACTGCGCGCCTAGAAACCGAGTTTGCAGCGCACTCGGTGCACTTTTGGATGAAACAACACGGCTTACAAATGGCTGCAGACAAGACCAAAGTGACCGTGCTTACCAGACAAAGACTACATTCCCTGCCCCTGGTGCTAAACTTTTCGGGAGTCACCATCACCTCTCATGAAACGGTGAAGTATTTGGGAATATGGTTGGACCAAAAACTGACATTCAAGCAACATCTCACAGAAGTGGCAAACAGAGCCACAAAAGTTGTGACCGCGCTATCTAGGATTATGCCAAACGTCGATGGTCCTAGAGCAGATAAGAGGCGGGTACTGATGAACGTCGCCAATTCAATGATGCTGTACGGAGCGGAAATCTGGGCTAACGCAATGACAATCGAAAACTACAGAAGAAGACTCGCATCAGTTCAGAGAACAGCAGCTCTGCGAATATCGTCAGCGTATCGCACTGTCGCTGAGGGGGCCATTTTGGTAGTGGCAGGCGCCATACCGATTGATCTTTTGGCACTGGAACGTCAAAGGTTGTACGACACCAGTGAAATACCAAAACCTTTCACTGCAGTCAGGCAACGGACCCTGCGTGAGTGGCAGGCAAGATGGGAGAACGATCCTAAGGGCTCCTGGACGCACACACTTATTCAGCAGGTTGAACCTTGGTACTGTAGGAGGCATGGGGATGTAAACTTCTACATCACTCAGTTTCTTACAGGACACGGGAACTTCAACCGATACCTGAACCTGCGTACCATTAAGGATAGTCCCTACTGTCGCTATTGCCAGACGGACATCGATTCAGCCGAACACACCTTCTTCGACTGTAGGAGATGGGCTGTACTGAGGAGACGGTTGGAACAACAAATAGGATTAACCTTCACACCTGAGTCGGCGGTGCCCACGATGCTTGCCAGCGAGAATCACTGGCATATGATCTCATCTTTCGTGGAGGAACTACTAAAACTGAAGAAGGCAGACGATGGAGTACAAACATCCCCGAACTCCTAATCCGGCAGGTCCGGGATGGGAGATGTAGGGTGCGATTGGACGACTACTACGAGGACAACTGAAGAACAAGACGATGAAGACAAGACAGCCTGCGTGCGTGAAGTTATGCCATCTTGGCGGTTCCAGCACAAAGGCGGTTCGTAGACCCACTCGCTCCAGGTTGCGGCCTGGCGACGGTCCTATAAAAAAAAAAAAAAAAAAAAAAAAGAAGTAGTAGTTTGATATAACTGTGTAACTCTTGTCAGCACTGGCGACGGTCCTATAAAAAAAAAAAAGTAGAAGTAGTAGTAGTAGCAGTAATTTACTGGTAACATAGGTATACAGTAATTATACATTGCATGTCATTGATATTATATCTAAAGAGTTCAAATATAACGAGTGAAGGGTAATATTTGTCCTAATCCTCTACACCTATGGTATATTGCGCCATAATTATCACTATTTATTTACATACTATTTTAATTATACAGGGTGTCCGCAAAGTTGGGGTTTTCCTTTACACGACGTCTAGATCTTGAAAACATAAGCAATTTTTCTTAGTACCATATACACCAATGTCTTAAGGGAACCGAGATAAAGGGCTCTGCAACATCAAAAATATCTGAATACCGTCCTGTAGCCGCGACTCGCGATATCCCCGACTGGTACTAGGACACTAGCTCAACCCGACGACAGAACTGGATCGGGGGTCGGGGTCAGTGTGTCAGGTCAGTATGCAACCTTCAACCGACGGTTACGGTCACGCGTGTAGAGGTAAACGAACCCAATCGATTGCGTTTCAAAAAACAAAAAGCACTAGAGACGTGACTAGCGAAGTGCAGGGGCTGTATCCGTTTCACGTCCAACGTGTACAAGCCCTTCAACCTGACGATTTTCCAGCAAGAGTGCGGTTTTGTGAGTGGTTGTTGCATCAACATGACACTAATCCGGACTTTTTTAAGTGCATATTGGTGACAGACGAATCTACGTTCACGCGTAATGGGGTGAATAACTTTCGCTACACTCATGTTTGGTCAGTAGAAAATCCGCACGCTGTCCGTCGGGCACATTTTCAACAAACATTTTCGGTGAATGTTTGGGCTGGCATGGTGAACGGTATGCTCATTGGACCATTTATTCTCCCAAATCGATTGGACGGGATGCAATACCTAGACTTTTTACGCAACATTTTGCCTTCCTTGTTAGAAGATGTGCCATTAAGTGTAAGACAATCAATGTGGTTTCTGCACGATGGTCATATTTGTTACCTCTGTTCGTGGTCTACAGGTCTGCAGCACCGCCGGCGTCTGCTCGGTAGCGCATCAGCTGATTTCATTTTCTGTTGGAGCGGTATGATTTCGGGCAGAGACGTACTTAGCCCTTCTCGTCAACTGGAGAGTGAGTACTTTTTTCTTTATTTTTTTTACTTGGTCGCCCTCGTTTCACTACACATTACCTTTGTTATTTCAAGGGTAGTTGTTTCTGAAAAGGAAAACCCTAACTTTGCGGACACCCTGTATATTTATAAAAGGTTGAAAACTTAAAATTTGGATCCTTGGACTTTGAAAGTTGAAAATTTACCTACTGGATAAAATATGTTTTCAATTAGGTATGATTTCACTTTCCATTTGAACCCGCAGCAGCTTCAAATTTCCTCAAGGTGGCTTAGTAAACTATTGTAAATAATAGCACAATTATAATACGGTGATATCTTACAGTGACTGGTATTATGGCTCTTAATACTTTGGAGCTTACTGCTTTTTGTGTTGTACTGGTGGTATTTTAAAAGGATGTTAAACAAGTGCTTATATCTTTTTACATATAAAACACACTTAAACATAAAACTACAAAGCACTGTTAAAATTTTATCACTTTCACATGTTTACCTTGGTTTCATATTTCTGGTTTACTCTTTGAGCTGTAAGAGTATAAAATGCACTAGTTATTGATTTGCAAAAAACACCAACGTGTTGATGAAACTCCGACCCTTTAATATTTATGTTTAAAATTTGAGGGAATTTATCTTGATATGGGTATCAGTCAACAGCTTTTATGTACTAACTTCAACATGGATCGTTTGGATTTTAGAAAAATCTCGAATTCTGCGCGAACTCTTTACAAGCTCCTTCATGGTTTTAGAGATGGTTTCGATTTACCATTTCAACTGATTTTAATGTTCCATCAGTTCCGTTGCACTCATATGCTTTTTTCAGATTAGGGGATGGAATACCAGCGTCAACATATTCAACGCTGAATCTAATAACTATGATATACATGCTGATTATTTAGGTGCTATTATATCCTCTCTCACTGAGGCTTATTATTATATTACTTCACTTCCTTATTGCGTCTATTTGTACTCTTGGGTATATTATTATTTCATGTGTTCATGTCTCTTTTCTTCTCAAGGACTCATACCCCTTTTTTTCATCGGCCAATTTGGGGCAGTATTTTAAATCGTATTCATCTGATTATTTCATGGTGTGTATGGAGATTACTAATATATATATATATAATAATTATTTATCTTAACTTGTTAACAAATATTAGTACAGGTCTGAAATTTTATGTGAATATTCCGTTAATTTAAGAATGATGCAGGTGATTATTTTTATTTTTATTATATTTTCTCCCCGAAAAACCTTTGATTCCCTTAAAATCATGTTTTGCCGCAAAAGAAAAGCAAACATTTTTTTAAGAGAGAAAATGATAAGCAAACAAGTAATCACCCGCTCATTCTTTCATAAAAGTGGAATATTCACATACAATTTTAGAGCTTTGTTAAGAATAAGTAAGTAAATTTAAGTAAGTAAATTTATTAGCAGCAGATTCAACATGTATACAGTTTTTTACATCATATTAAATATATAGACTTTACAATTATTGTATAATATTTAATTCCAGCTATCTATTCTTAAAATTACCCACTATTGCTAATAGTTTTAGATGCACAATTGTATTCAAAATACTGTGTGTGCACCCCATTCACATTGTTAAGTGTAACTTTTTCATTGAGGTTCTTAATTCTAGTTTACAAAGAGAAAAAGGAATATAAAAATAGATCAAACAAATTTAAAGCTATTATGTTTTATCTTAAATTTTAGGAACTTAATACCTTTAATGCTACAGGTTTTTATATTACATAATTAATGGCGTATTGACTATCAATAATCCATCTTGTTAATTCCTTTTTAACAGTAGAATATCTCAATCTCTTAATACTATTTGGCACATCATTATAAACTTTTGGACCTATACAGTAAACGTGACTCTGGCAAGCTGTGTGTCTAGGGTTTTGCAATTTTACTTTTGCCTGAGCAGCACTTCTTGTATTTTGGCCATGCTGTAAGTATTCTTTGTAGAAATCATATTTCATCATAAATCTTATAAGTGATTTTAAATAGAGCTGCTCTAGGTTCAGTATTTTACTGTCTCTAAAAACAAGTTCAGATGAATATCGTTTCAGTTTGAAAAGCATAATTTTTATGATCCATTTCTGAGCTACCTGTAACTTGGATAACGTTGCTAAACTTGTATTTCCCCAAACTACGAAACCATAATTAATTACAGATTCTGTTAAAGCAAAATAAACTGTTTTAAGAGTTCTGAAGTCTAATATTTCCCTTAATTCATAAAATTTGTGAATAAGTTTTCTAATCTTTGTTGTAACATACTCAACATGATCTTTCCAAGTAAGAAGTTCATCTATAATTATTCCTAGATATTTCAAGCTCGATTTCTTATTTATATATTTGCTACATGCACACTGAGGTGCAAAGTCACAATATGAGTCATGAATCTTAATGCAGTTTAGATTAGGCAAAGTACGCGAGGAAAGGGAAAAAGTCATAAAATTGGTTTTCTCAATATTTAGAGAGAGCAAACTAAAATCTAGCCAATTTTTAATTGTGTGCAATGCTCTTTCAGCTTTTAACTTGACGGAATCCCAATCTTCACCACTTACTAAAATACTCGTATCATCTGCAAAGCAATAGATAGTTATGTTTGCATCATTTAATTGTTCCATTATATCATTTATGTATATTATAAACAGCAAAGTTGAGAGAACCGTACCTTGTGGCACCCCGCATTCTACCTTCAAAATATTACTTTCCTGACCCGAGACATTTGTGATTTGTTCACGTCCAGAAAGATAGGACTTTATGAGTTTATTTGGAGTGCCCCTTATTCCCAGATTATCCAAACGACCTAGTAAAATTGGATGTGCCACTGTGTCGAATGCCTTTTTTTGGATCTAAAAATATACCCATCACCTTTTTTCCTTGGTCTAGCCCTTTCAGAATACTCTCAGTGACCCTGACAAGTGCAACTTCAGTGTTAGAATTCTCTCTGAAACCAAACTGATTTAAGTTCAGTAATTTATGCTTTTCCAAAAACTGCATTAATTTTCTTTTCAGACATTTCTCAATAATTTTACTTACTGTACTAGTTAATGCAATGGGTGTATAGTTGTTCATGTCTTTTTTATCTCCTTGTTTGTGAAGAGGTATCACTTTGGTTTTTTTTAATATTTGTGGAAAAATACCAGTACCAAAAACTAGGTTTATTATGTGTTTCAATGGAATACTAAGTTTTTCTTTATATTTCTTGATTATATTTGATGAAATATTATCCTCCCCGCCTTTTACCCCATTCTTTAAACAGTTTATCTCCCTAATTATATATGAGCGAAGAAAAAATGTATGAAAAGGCACGGCATATTTTTTGACAAAAAAGGAATGAACAACAATGTTTTCAGTTATCTCTATACACACTATAAAATAGTCAGATGAAAACTATTAAGGGTACTCCTCCAGACGCTGTTGAAAAAAGGGACATGCGACGTTAGTGTTTACTTACTGGCAACTTTAGCAATTTCCTTCATTTCTTTTCTTTATTTATATTAGCTTTAGGAGTACATTTGAGATATTTGTTCTCTTTATTGTTTCAAGTTGCCCTGTAATTGAAACTATGTTCTGTTGAGCCATAAATCGTTTGTTTGTTGTTTGTTTGACGTTTTTTATAATTAGACATTGAGCGTGAGCTTTGCAAAACCATCAATGCGATATTTAGGTCTCATTTTGTACCATTCCACGTAGACTATATGTTAAAATGATATCAAGTACGAGGGATGTCTTTTAAGTTTTGCATATAGGCCGCGCGGATCGAAGGTCAGTACAGAATCTTAACCTCACTCTTTAGTAAACTTAAATTCAAAGTTTCACAACGATACGTGCAGTGTTCTCACTACAATGAATTTTTAAGTGTCACCAAGTCATTAGAAAAATGGAACTCAACCGAGAACATTTTCGCGCAATAATTTATTACAACTTTCAGAGACAAGAATGCCTTGCTGAGTTACTGTCTGTTTTCGGCAACGAAGCGCCACATCAGTCGACAATTTCCTGTTGGCATGGAGAATTCAAACGTGGACGGGTAAGTCTTAGTGACGATCCCAGGGTGGGTGCACCAAAAACGGCAGTCATCCAGGAAAACGTCGATGCTGTGCGCAAACTCATCATGGAAGATAGACATGTGGCATATCGCGAGATTGAGGCGTCCTTGAAGATCTCAAAGACCTCAATTCAAAAAATTTTACATGAAGAATTAGCAGTAAGAAAATTAGTTTCTCGTTGGATACCCCACCTGTTGACTGAAGAGTAGAAAGCAGCCAGGGTTAATTGGTGTCAAAAAACGCTTGACCGTTTCAATTCCGGAAAAAATGTGTACAGCATTGTTAGTGGTGATTAATCGTAGATTTACTGTTATGAACTAGAAAATAAACGACAGTCGGCTGTTTGGGTTTTCCAAGGTGAAGAAAAGCCAACAAAAGTCATCCGTTCTCGACGTGTTTCGAAAAAGATGGTCGCGACATTTGTGTCAAAAGCGGTTCATATTGCAACAATTCCTCTTAATGAGCAAAAAACTCTTACTGCGGATTGGTATACCACCATTTGTTTGCCAAAAGTCATCACAGAGCTTCGAAAAATCAACCCGAAAGAATCATCCTCCACCAAGACAATGCAATCTCGCACACAGCCCAAAAAACAAGGCAGTATTTAACGGAAGAAAACGTGGAATTATTGGACCATCCTCCATTCAAAAATGCCGTTTTGGATCTGCCAGCAAACAAGTGGAATAAGTGCTTCGAAAATTAGTTCGAGTGCATGCAGATGTGTATTAATCTTCGTGGAGTATATAGTTCGAAAAACAATAAAGTCATTTAAAACTACCTACTGTGTTGTTTTATTTCCATATGCAAAACTTAAAAGACGTTCGATCAGCTGAGGCAAACTTCCATCATATGGCCTCCGAGAGCAACTTTGAAGATGGGTGGCTGACTTTTCCTCTGGTCGCAATATATCTATCGAAAATTTACAAGAAGTCCATGCAATTCATCAAGTCCATTCCTTCAAAGCCGCCTTCATTAGACCAATCTGTGCCAAAGGCGCAAATTTAGATTCCCGTCGGTCAAAAGTAAAATCGGGCTTAAGGACCCTACGCGATTCAGTTTAGTAACTAAAGAAAAAGGTATGCCTGAAATTATTTTCTTTTAAATTACTTATTTGACCCATCAGCGTCGCAAGTCCAATCATCTCATCGAGAGTCCGGTCGTCCCGTTTGCATAACCAGTCCCCCTTTTCCGCTGTTGTCCCAGCCGAGATTTGTGGATGCACATTCGGCCGACACAGCCGACTCTGACCCGATTCGGGTCAGCGCGGTGGACTGGTTGCATTGTCGACTAGTCGAGAGGGTGAAGGACCTTTCCGCATACTCGTTACGATAAAAATGAAACGAACGCACGTGAGAGGCATCTTTGGAAGCGGTCAGCCAATCGGGGTTTTTCTATCATTACTCCCACTGGGACTTTATAGAAAAACACCCCTCTTGAAGATATGGCTGCGTGTCATTTTGCTTGGACGTCGCGAGGGTTCAGCGCTGCTACTAACGTGTACAATAACGGGAATATTTTCTCAAAATTCCCCATAATGTCTATTATGTTATAAACCGTGAATTAATAAAATCAAGAATTATAGAAATTAAAACGCTCCGACAGGTCAACCATACGAACCGCCTGGATGCTGGTTGCTGAGTGAATACCATGCTGTCTTCCCCCGTTAATGCATCGAAATTGTCTCGATCTTCTTTTTGCCTGCTTTTTGTTTTAAAAACAAAACGAAAACCAGATGAAACAACTGCAAAAGCAATTAAACCATAAATATACTAAGTGACATATAAATCCGAACACCCAGTTTAAATGGTTTTATTTTAATAAAATTTTTTATAAGTACTTAATGAAGCATACTAAGTAAATGATAAAAATTTCAAAATGATTGCACTGCTTTAAAGCCCTTTGACCTTTAATAATGTGTGGATGCACCCTGATGTGCTACACATTCTCCAACGCGCCTAGGCATGCTTCTGATCAGGTGGTCAATGTCCTCCTGTGGTATCTCATTCCAGGCAACCACCAACTCCTCTCGAAGTGCTTCTAGAGTCTGAGGAGGACGTTGCAAATTGAGCAATCTCCTACCCATCATATCCCACACGTGCTCAATTGGGGATAAGTCGGGAGATCTTGGTGGCCATGGTAATAATGTGACATCATTATGTTGAAAGAAGTCTATTGTGATTCTTGCAACATGTGGTCGGGCATTATCTTGTTGGAAAGTTGTATCTGCCAGGGTGTCAAGATAGGGTGAAAGATGGGGTTCTAGAACTTCGTGGATATAACGCTGCGCGTTCATGTTACCTCTGATGAAGATTAAAGGTGACCTGGAACCATAAGCTATAGCACCCCAAACCATAACTCCAACAGTGTGATGAATATGTCTTTCAACAGAAAACTGTGGATTCCTCCTTTCACCACGTCGCCTTCTAACCCTGGCACGACCATCGTGCATGCCTAAACAAAATCGAGACTCGTCACTAAAGACAATACTGTTAAAGTCCTGATCCCAGAGTGACCGTTGTCTGCACCACTCAAGGCGATTACGTCGGTGTTCACGAGTTAAAGGGAGGACCCAGTGTGGCCGGTACGAAAACAAGCCAAAACTTGTCATTCGTCGGTAAACACTTCGCATGCCAATAGGTCTTCCGTGTTCTGCAAACCATTCATTTGCAATGGACCTGGTAGTGGAGAAACGCCCCCTTAAGGCCAATAATTTTAGGCGGCGATCTTCACGGTCTGTTGTTCTACGGCGGCGTCCAGTGCCCCTTGCTCTTTGCGTACGGCCTTCTCGAAGCCATGCCTGACAACACCTAACCACAGTGTCTACACTTCTTTGCACTCTAACTGCAATTGCCCGAAAAGAAAGTCCAGCTTCCCGAAGTCCCACTATACGGCCCCTATCAAACTCACTATGTTGACGAAATCGTACAGGTCTCCGTACTGTAGGCATCGTAACCGATCGTAAAGGATGTCAAGAACCAAAATCCGCCAACGTTGATTCTTTACTGCTGCTGAAATATTCATTTTTAGAGCGTTAGTGAATTAAAAAAAAGCAGTATAAAAACCGGAATGTCCATCTGATTTTTTCACTTGTTATTTACAGTAAGATAAATACATTCAC